TATACATCTTTCTCCAGGCACCATTTCGGTCTTTCTCTTCGAGGGCCTGCACGGAGAGGCAGGTTCAGTCAGTTTTAGCCGCGGGTGCGATGGTCAACTGAACTCCTTGTCACCCTTTTTGGTTTGCCTAGCTTCAAAAGCAAAGTGCGGAGGGATAAACTACTGGAAAAAAATCCCAGACAAGTTGGATGAATAACCGGAGCAAGGCGCACAGTGAACAAACAACTTCACCGTGAGGGAGTCAGAAAGAACAAACGGCGGTCATGGAAAAAGAAATAAAAGCAAGAACGGCTCTCCGCCAGAAGTTGGTGGTGATCTTTCCTGTAAGCATTCCTGCTGCTGTTCTGCATTGCTGTCTTTGGGCTGTTCGTGTTGCGGTCCAAAGCCTGGGGGGGAAAAAGGTAAAAACAGCAAGCAGCAGCAACTTGATGTTTGTGCGCAGAAATTGCATGCTAGAGCTAGTTGGTATTCCTTGGTGTGCATGAAAAACTCTCTAGGATCTCATCGTTCATGGGGAGTCAAGTCCATATGTTCGAGACAAGGCACACGGAAAATGCAAGGTTGTGCAGTGTTGAAAGGTACTTGCGTCGGGTGAGACTACAGTGTGCATCAGCGTGCTGGGAAACGGTTTCAGTGTTTGATGGATGCAAAACAAGGCAAGTCTGTATGTGGCATGTGATCCTTTGAATGCATGTCTCGTCAATGAAACCCATTGTCGGAAGATGCTGCATTTGGTATCCGGCGGAAGAACACATCAAAATGCGGTTGGCCGCTTGTCGACCCTAGAGTTCCGCTGTGTTTAGCTACTGGGTTGAACCTGTTTGGACCTTGAACCTGAACTTGTACTCGACAGAACACCGTCGTAATGGCACCCCGACGCGACCTCTATCATTACTCGGTCTTTGTGAGTTGACCTGGTCGACGACCACAAGAAGTGAACTGGGACGTTAAACCAGCACAGATATTAGACTGTTTGAAAAGCTATGTTGAATTTGGATCAATTGACGCGCCGTCCTGCCCCCCCCTCTGCAGTTTTGTCTTTCCTCCTTGCGGGGGTCTTGGCGCTGGCATGCTGTGCCGAGACTTCCCCGCCTTGTTTCAGACGAGGCTGGGGAAGTACCTATAACTGGTTCATTGTAAAATGATCCAACGCGCAGGTTTCCGAAACCTGCAACGGTTCTCTTCTCGTCTGGTGCCTGGATGGGTGTGCCCCAGGCAGTCCAGGCACCCAGAAGAATCACTATGTCCTCCACTTCAGTGGACTGGAAACCGTTTTGCGGCTTGAAGCCACGGACAGAAAAATGGTCTTTCTGTCCCGGCCGAGGTGGATCGTTCGATGGATCTCACTGTACAAACCAAAACTCTTCAGCAAAATCTGCAGGAGCAGTGATTGACGCTTTGCGTGCCACCACCCGATTTTAGATCTCGCGCGTCTGTCTCGGTACTGGGCGGATTTGGCTTGGAGGCACCTTTAAGAACATGATCTGTGACGAAATCTCGACCTAGTGGATCCTACGGCTGCTAGATTGGAGGCCATCGCTAGTAGGTTGGGGGCCATCGCCGATTGCTTTTAGGCTGCTAGCTTGCTCCTGTGTCCCGTTCACCAAAGATCTGGAGTATGAGACAGACGCTCGGCTCAGCCGCCGGGGTCGCGATGAGTTGGGTCCAAGCGCTTCCAAAAAACCCGACCTGTCTTTGTTTGTCTTAGATGTGTGTCTGACATCACTTCCAGGCGGGAAAGAAAAGACAACACTGATTCGAGGTCTAGTCGCGGAGGTGCCAGCGTCGCCGAGCGCCGCGGAGGCAAGCGAGCGAGCGAATGCTCTCGAGGTGGTTGGCGAACACTGATAGACACTGACACATACTGACACCACCTCCGTGTCTTGTCTCGATCGATGGAGCCAGGTCATTCAGTTTTTTCCAGAAGCGCCCCTCCCTTCGACCACGGGTGTCAAAGATTGCAGCTGGTTTACAGCGCAGATCCCTCTTCAGCCAAGCTCGTTGCCCAAAAACAGCACGGGGCGTTGAGGAGCTTTGAGGGCTCAGCCCGAGGGGTTTGTCGACATGGTTGATATCACAAAATAGATGTGTATATGATGTACTACATCACATCATATAACAACATATCGCATCATACACAATAAGAAACATATTATGCCATGTTGTAGTGCATTAAGAAACATGGAAACAATATGTTATTGCTTTGCGTGTACTTCATGAATGTATAATGAAATGATACACATGTGTATATATATATAGATATAGATATGTATATCTGTGTGTGTCTGTATATATATATATATATAACTCTAACCGCTCGGCTGTGGACTCCCAAAATCCCCTGACCGCCCGCTATAACATATATAACATGGCCCGTCGCATGCGGGCATGCAGAGCTTCTCACCCACTCTCCTGGGCGAGAAGAACTGGAAGTCTCCCATAGTCTGGGACATTCTATTGTGCACATGGTGAGCTGCAACACAAAGCCACAGTTTACCTCCAAAGCATGTCCATGATCTCATTCAGGGTGAACGATTGAGGCCAAACTACGTTAGACAAAACGGCTCATCCTGATCATCCTACCCAATCACAAGCTCCTCTAGCAGGCCGACACAACCAGAGAAGTACCTCTGCACGTTCTCAACAAAAAGCAAACAAACTGCAGACATTCAAAGCATAGCAATCTCCCTCCAAACGTTGAAATCAAGAAGCCAGCCTGATCACTCGATACTCATACCTGCGAGGCTACTCCGTTACTCGCACCTTATGTGCAGGTGGTCCATATACAGCAACCCGTAAGTAAAACAAATAACCTCCTAATTACTGCTCTGTGTTCTCTCGAGGCACGTCCTGGGAAGAAGACGTGCTCAGGCGCCGAAGCCTTTCAAAGGTGCTCAAGAGTGGAGCATCACACAAAGGCACCAAAGGTGGTCAAGAAGTTTTCATGTCCCCTCATTTTGGCAGGATAGTCCGTGTAGCCCCAGCGCAATGCTGTCTCTCTATCTGTATTTGTACAGCACATGGAAGTGCTGGTCCCAACATTGTACTACATGGTCGTCATATCCATGGCCATCATCATTCCACCATAACCAGGCAATTTTGTCTTTCTCTGATGTAATATCCATGTTGAACAAATTCTTTTAAAAAAAAACACTCATTTGTGTCAAGCGGTAAGGCTGGCTCCTTCGAGGAGTCAAAGTGCCGATTCCGATTGGTGAGTCCGTCAAGGGGTGTCCATCATCTGCACTTGGGCTTTCGTGTTTTGGACTCGGAACCCGACCGCATCGATCCTTGAGGCGATCGGTCCTTCGGTCCTCGTTGGTGTTCCGCGTTCTTTTTTCCGTTGCCTCATCTGAACAGGTGGATACAGCGCTGTAGAAGGACCTCAGCGACAACTCGGACCGCATCGACGACCGGACCTGAGTCACCAGGGAGTGGGGCGAAGCTCGGGTCGCCCCGCCGAAGCTCGCCCGAGCGGATCCTTTTTTTGGGGCTCCAGGACATCGACATGGCACGCGACCATGGAAGCCCACTCGTTGAGAGCATGCGATCCTTCGTACAAGTGGTTCATTTGCACAAGCGCAATGTCACCAGGCTATGAAATCCTGTGACCAAATCAATCGACTCAATGGACGTGTCACGGTCACGGAAACACACAGCAATGGACAGTACCGAGGGGTGGGCCCAAACAACCCCTGACTTAGAGTTATATGCCTGGGTTGACCCGGCGGCTCCTGAAAGCCTATGGAGACTCCTCAAGCAAGACGAAGCTGGACACCGCTGGTTCATGAGGACAAATTGAACAAAGCCCATAGGCTGCGGTCTCCCCAGTTTTAAACAAACCCACACCAAGACGTCCTGCACTTGGCAACCAGCATTCACTCAACTCGCAAAAGGAAAGGAACATGAAAGAATCACTCTTCCGGGTTTCCCCTTGGTCATTTGTGATGCCTTCAAATCAGCAGAGGAACCACCCGCTGGCGGAAGACAGGTCTCAGAGTCTCAGAAAAAGGTTCCCAGCCGAACCTGCGCGAGCGAGGCCGATTAGGATCGCATGTTCTGTTGAGCCTTAAATCAAAGCGCTCCGCTCACGGCGTGCGCAGAAACTGTGAGCCATGCAGGGTGGGGGCCGTACCCCTTGGCTTCGAGCAATGAGCAATTCCATAATCTAAATATGTGTATGTAAATATATATATATATATATGTATGTATGCTGTATACCGGAAATTTACCTGGGGAGCCCAAAAGAACCCTCACTTGGCACTGGCTTCAAGGCCCACCCTGCCGGGACGAAATCCCAGGGCGGTGCATCTGCAATGGCTGGCAGAGTTCGCAGGGGAGACACGAAGAACCATTCTTGTGAAGGTGGTCAAGCCAGGCGGGTAGGTCAAAAACCAGGGAAAGAGGCACCGATCCTGATGCAACCCTGTTTGGAGCGTGTCTTGGAACCTGACTGCTTTCTTGGACTCGATTCGTGTCGACTTTGGCCGTCAGGGTTCGTTTGGAACCGTGTTTCCCATGTGATGCTGGAGATGTGCGACTTCCCCCACCCGCCATGATGTGGTGAATCATTTTCATAAAACATGGTTAGTTTGCTGGGAGGTTGAGCCAATGCGGTGGCGTTTTTGTTCGTCATGTCGCTTTTCCTCGTTCTCTCCCATTGGCTCGGTCTGCCGTATCATTGGCCCCATGCACCACGCTTCCAACGATACGAGGATATGTTCAGCACATTAACCTCAGGGTTACCGCCAAAAAGGTAGAAACGAGTCTCTCAATATATACTTCATTTGGGGGTATTCACTGTTCCATCACAGTGTTCGCTGTCATGATCGTGCATACGAGAAGGGAAAAATTGTCGAGCTTTCAGCATCTAGGATTCTCCCAGATACAATAGTAGGCAATTGGGCTGCGAGTCAAAAGCCTGGGATGCTGGACCCGTGAAATCAACAAACTAAAGCACCAGGCAGTTCAACCGAAGTTCAGCCTACCTTTGGCAATGATTTGGGGTCCAGGTTTTGACCCACACCATGTTCTTCCGGTCAGGATGCAGGTGGAAGGCTTGATGAATTCACTGCATTCTCAGGGAATCTCGTTGTCCGAGTCCAACTCTTCTAGAGTGAGACATCCTTGGAGCAGTCACAGCGCTGTCAGAACTATATGGCGCTGGAATGTGTGTGCTTTCAACCTGCACATCATGCATTACTGCATTTGCTTTTGATGCCAAGCTGGTGATTGATTTGAAGCTTGACCCAGGATTGTTGCGCTAAAGGAAATCATCCTGCACAGCTCGTGACTCATGCTCTTTGTCATCCGACCACTTTCACAGTTCACCCATGAATAACGGACCGCGCCAAAGCCTCCAAAGCCTCCTGTCAAACGGCTCCTGAACCAGTTATCCCTTATCCCTATCTCTTATCACTATTTATCTATCTATCTATCTATCTATCTATTTGTCTATTTATCTGATATGTATGCATGCCCCCCTCTCTCTCTCACCTTGGGGCTTGTTTGTTGGGGGCCCTCGCCCAGCACACCATAATTTGCTTCGATGATAACTAGCACCAGTATGAACTGCGTTCCACTTGCACCACCATGGCGAGTGCCTCAAACTAGATGTCACGGGCTGCTCCCCTTGTTCTCTTAACCACCCAGAATTCCATCTGTGAGATCCTTACCCTCCCTTCACTCCACCTGTGGAAGATCATTGAAAATGCCAAGTGTCGCCTTGCTCCTTCCACCAGGCCTTCTCGGCCATCACCTGGTGTAGCTCCTTCCGATGGGCCTGGCAAACAGCTGATGTCCCGGCGTATCCACATCAATCTCCATCTAACAACATGTTGCAACATTCACAAGGCTTGACACTAAACTCCTGTGTTTGTAGATCAACATTGCTGTTCGGAACCTTTGTGGATCAGTCCTCTTCCCTCACGACTTGCCAGTACCAGCCGCTGCTTTGGCTACCAACCGGGTCCAGTCACTCGAGTCCACCGTGACGACTCACCGGTCGACTGGTTGGCCCGACAGCCGAAAACGCCGCCTCGACCCAGTCCAGGTGGCTACCTCATTGTGCCCAGCGAAAGACCGTGGGCGCGAGCGAAGATCACCGTGGTGTCGCGGGAACACACTCGGGCAAACAACATGGGAGCCTGGCAGCTGGTTAGCTGCTTGAAGATCTTGAAGCATCCCGAGTTGGCTAGGAATCATGCAAGAGAACAAAAACTAATATCATGTTGGACCAAACCCAACGCGTTCCCATGTTTTTCGCGATCCGCACTGACATGGAACACCAAGGGCCCAGCGATTGAGATGCTTCCGGACGTGATCCGGGGATTTGAAGTACTTGCTACACAGCCTTGGACGCTCGGATGGTCCTACCTTGGACCAACTCTTCGTTAGTAGATCCTCTCTGTGCTTTTGGCCGGAAACACCTACTACTAACTGCACTTCATGGAGAGCACATGGATGTCTCCAACATCCTACTCTGCGTCCTCGGACCTGGCTTCTGATCCGCAGTTCACCAAGAATCAAATCACAAGGGGACGAACTCACTGAAACTCCAGCAGTCTCTGCCGTTCTCACAGGTCCATCCGGCACCCCGCCGTCCAAAAAATCACCCCGGAACCCGATGGAACCCGGCCGCCTGCATTGCACCTTCTGCTCCATCGTCAGCATCGCGTGCTCCGCCGCCTCCAACGAAGGCAAGGGACCAATCATACGGCATACTTGCAGCTGCGGGAAACTCTTCCAATCAGCAGGCAGTAAGACAAAAACTCAACAGCCTGCGCCAAGTGCTTCACAAAATCCTGATCCTCGGGCAAAATCACTTGCGGCCTCTGCAACGACCTGAGCGGTTTCCAGGACTGTGCTGCAGGTCTTTTCACAGTTCCATGGGTCCAAGTTGTGCGCCTTTAACTTAGAGGAGCGAGGAGCTCAAGTTCAGGCACTCCTTGGTTCTTTTCTTCTTGCTCGTCCAATTTCATCTCCCCCGTGCTCGACTGGCAAAGTGGTGGGGGAGCATCTCTGCCTCATAAGGCTTATGTAAGCACTGAAAGGAAGAAGAGTCCTGAGCGTTGTTGGAAGTTGGAAGAAATTGACTTTGCCCCAACCCACACTCAGCACAGTTGAATCACGACGGCTTTGGGTGGTCAAAGGTCTACGTCACAGTCCCTCAAACGACTCAGTGACACAATCTTGCCACAAACCCAATTGACGAATCTGGAGAGCACCAAATGGAGGAAGTATTGTCTGAGCCGCCTTCATCACCGGGCTCAGGTTTCAACTTGTCACTTGGCTGCACTGAACCCACTATCTGCTTTCTTCTCCCTGAAAGCTTTGGACACTATATTGTGAATACAATGTGAAGTGAACAGGGGCCAAAATGTTTCTGCTTAGTGAATATAGCTCACGTCGTTGACCTCCCACCTCCCTGGTCCGTCCAAGCTGCACATTCTTCGCCAAAAAGTCCTGGCTTGCCACCGTCGGTCCGGTGCTCGGGGACGAACCTCTGGGATTGTCACCACCACCGCCACCAATTAAAGAGAAAACACCTTGTTCATGTGTTTCTTTAATGATCTCTTCTTCCCCACCACCAAACCCATTCTCCTTCATACCCTTCTTAAGATTCCCCGTAATGCCAACGATGCGGATCAAACCGTCTTGGGTGGGAAGACCTCGCCGCCAAGCTGTAAAGCGCCGCTCCTTGATGTTGGCCTCATGCCGCCTCGTCCTCTCCCCACCACTCGGATGCACAGTCGAAGTCTCACGGAGGGTGGCGGTCCCGCAACGCTCGCGGAGCTCCCACTCATCCTGAAGCAAGAGCCATTCTTAGCCCAACACACGGGATGCTCCAAGCAAACGTGGGTCGTGAACTGTCGTTTGAGGTCTTTTGTGCGGCGTCGCTGAAGAACACATGAACGGAGACTTGGTCTAAAAGTGCTGCCGAGGTCTCGTGGAACCCTTGGTTTAGTGAAAGTATATATATATATATAGTGCTTCCGATGTCCTCTAGGTCTTGTTGGCTGGAGAAAAAGGATCAATTGCCGAAAGGAACCTTGCAGCAATGAAACACAGTAAACGAACAAATTCGCCAGACACCTGTGAAAGGGGGCTTGGACTGTGCTGCACCAGGCAATTTGTTGAAGTGTCTGCTTCGTGCAAGCGTAGGGTGGAGAGATAACCCTTGAAGTGCCAGGTTCGAGGACAAGAAATTGAAAAACAGAATCGCATGATCTTGAAACTTTGATGCAGGACCATCCATCCGTCCACTGACAACCCTAGAACAAAGTGCGCACTCTAGAGGTCAATCTTCCTGCTGGATGTGGCCTCAGGTGGATACAGCATTATGCAACATGATATAGCCAAAAAGGAATCCTCCTAGGTTCCTTAAGGTCATTTTCAATATCTATTCAATGAAGGAAGAGCAGCTCCTTGAACCACTGGGCGGAATAGAAGCAGAAGTGGTGAACACGGCGCAGGTAGACCTCACTGAGCCCAATGGCCCAAGTATATAATTGCTGAGTCATGTTTCCCGAAAGGGCTGGGCCCATGCCACGTTTCTTCTAATGTGCTTGACTAAGCCTTGTGGACAACCTAGTTTCTAGCACCGATCGGAGTGGCAACTTCATGACCCTCGACACCTGAGCTCCAAAACCGGCGTATATCTACACTCTACTCTACTGTATATGGGAGTCTTTTGCTTTCTTTATTTGGAGCCAAATCCCCTTGAACTGCAGGTTGGTCGAGCTGCGGCGAATGGGCAGGTGCTGCATTACACAAGGTGTGGCTCTAGTGGACGATCGTGGCCCCTGAGAAGTTCACGCTAAGCTGCACGGATTCGAACGTCCAGGCGCAAGCTGAAGATCCAGTTTCTGCTCGGCGCTGCCCGTCCAGCAAAGGATTTCATCTGTCACCTCAGCTCACACGACGCAGGTGACAAATGCAAACTCCAGGAGCATGCCCGTGAGTGTACATACTGCACGCCGCCCCTATGTGATAAGGAGATGAAAATGATGGAAAATTGCCAACCGCAAGGGAGAAAAAAGGCCAACTGCGGCGACGGTGCTCCTTCTTCTGCGAAAAGGTGCAGTGCGGAAAAAGAGCAAGAAACTGGTCCTAAACGGAAATGTCCTCTTATATACTCTCTCACGACCTGTGCCTCTCATTAAAGTGGCCGAGGAACCTCCGAACCAATGCTCATGAGCTGGTCCAAGCGCTTCAGAACCTTCAAACATGCGCGAGCACATCTGAAGGAGGTCTTATGAACCTCCGTGCTTCTACAGGAGCATTTTCTGCAAACGGTTCGGCCCATGAGTCAGCGTGTTTAAAACTTGAGAAGAGGGAGACACGAAAGGTAGGACAGCGGGAAGAGAAGAGAACGCGAGAGGCAGGAACAAAAATGCTATGTTCGACATGGTGATTTATCCCCTCGGAGGCGACCTTTCGTAAATCGTAAATATATGTTCATATGCACTCTAATTGTTCAAACATATGCTCTGGAAATGTTCAAAAAGATTCTTAGGAAAACAAACTTGCCCCATGGATCAGATCATCGGTGAGCATTGAATCGGAGCATCATAGGATTTGAACTATCCTGAAACCATAAGAGGCTCACGAAGACGCTCCCCAGGAGAGAATTGACGTGCTTCACAAAACAAACTCTAGGTATGTATCCCCTCGGGGAACACCTTTCGTGATTAGAATTTCATATGCACTCTTTCTAAATGTTCAATGAGGGTTTCAACTATCCTGAAATCATGAGAGGCTCACGAAGACGTTCTCCAGGAGAGAATTGAATTTAGAGGGGGGGGTTCTGTATTGAAAAATCAATTCCAAGGGGGCGGGGGAGGGGGTGAAAGAGTGACTAGGGCGTACACGGTAGAGGTGCAGACCGCTAGTGTCTTTTATGCGCAGAGTCTTATCCTCTTGCTCTTTAGGTCCATTGACCCTCTCTTGAGCCTTGAAGCAGTCAAGCATGGACACACTATATCAGCTGTTGGAGTGGAACCCTGTACAGGTAGGCTCTACTTTTCAGCAGGCACAAGATTCATGTCCACTTCTAGCTGATTGCGTATGTCGCATACTCTTTTTCTACTGCAAGGCTAAAACAGTCCAGCTAGCTCTGACAACTTAAAAGAAAACTACGGTGCCATATACTTACCTAATCCAGTGTGTTTCACACTTTGGAGAAGGTAATCTCATAGCTACTAAATACAGTGAGGGAGCAATAGCTGACTCACCTCAAGTACAAAATCAAATCGATAATGTACCTCGGCTGGAGACTGTACTTTTCGCAGGCGAAGATACCATGTACCGGCGCTCACTAGCTCTTTATGGCCTGAGCTAAATCAAACTAAAAGGGAAAGCGGCTTTTTCTCTACAGAGACCTATAAAAGAATCAAACGACACTCGCGTAACAAAGAACTAAAAATTCAAGACCGCACAAATTGCAATGAATTAAGATGCCTTGCAAAATGCAAGGAGCGTACGGTCCGAGGAATAATCTTCTCGTGACGTGGTCTCGACCGCTTTCATTCACAGACAAAATAAACTGCATCAAAAGGACTCTTTCTCACATTCACATCAAAAACACAAGAAGGAGATACCGGCAAATGTATGTACAAAAAAATCTTGCACTACAATTGCAAATCATGAAATGACTTAATCATCAACCATGACTGGTTGTCCATTAGAGGTCACTTCTTAAGAGCGATGATGATAGATATCATCAGTTATGTAAAACTGTCCATACCTATCCAAATGCTAAAGCATATAAACCTGGAATGCAGGAGTATCTTCTTTGATAAAAAGTTTCTCCTGGTTGCAAACCAGAGTTCATTAAAACTTCAGCCTGGTAACTTAAAGTCAAGCCTGGAAGCAAAGTATCAACTGTAACCAGAAGTATCTTCACTTCCTAGCCATCATTTAAATTTCAGCCTTCGCTCAGGAATTATGCCGCTGCAGACGTTGAAGCTGCTTGATCAGAAGTTGGCGGCCTTCCTTTCTTTCTATTCTGCTTCTCTCTCTCCTTCCTCCGCACGTTCGCCTCATGAAGCGTTGCTCCCATGCGATACTGTCTTCTGTCTCCAGATGAAAGGGAAGCTGGTCTGAGTGAAATAAACATTGGACCATGACTGTCCTCGTCAGTGGGCCTTGAGCACATAACCTCTGTATCAATCATAGCAAAGTTCTCTGAAAAATTACAGATGAACTCCTTCGTGCTCACTGTGGAATTTTCATATTCCTCTTCACTCATTGAATGACCCCATTCAACAATGGTAGACAAACATGTATCGCCAAGCTGTGATCCTTGGTATTCTTCTTTTTCAACAGTAGAATATTCTTCCCAGAGTTTGTCAAAGTAATCTTCACACTTCTTGAGGACCTGTGAAGTTGAACTGTAAAATGTTCTGGGAATAGGTGCTTTGATATCAAGATCTGCTTTTACACGAGCTTCTGAAAACTTGCGGATCCAATGCTGCATGGTGCTGTAATAGTAGTTAGCCATTGGCTGCCTTTTGTACCCAGACATTCTGTAGGCCAAACTATTTGCATCACCAGAAATGATGTCCACCTCATAGACAAAACACTCGTAAAGCATCAATGCTGTCTGTTCTCCTGTCAGTAGGTGGGCATCCACAGCACGGTGTGTATCAACATGGTAATTACAGACTCTGATGGTATGCATGTTCGCTCGAGTAAGTGGAACACGCTTGTCCTCAGGACCATAGTCATCAAATTCAAAGTCTGCATCCTTGAAATCTTGACGAGGCCTTGTTTCTCCAAAACAAATCTCGTAGATAGCCCAAGTTACATCACGCTGTTCACAGTGACCAAGTTCTTGATCATGTCCAGCAATGATCTTGACATATCCACCTGGTGCCAATCTAGCCATCACTGCAAGATTCTCCCAATCATTGAAGCAAACTGTCCAATTCTTTTGCTCAATAAATTCCTTGGCAGGAACAAGAAGATGAGCTTCCTGGAGAATCACGACATGTGCACGTAAAAAGAAGAGCATGTTGAAGAAAAGGTTGTTTTCAAATTGCTCATATTGAAGTGACATGGCACTCTGCTTGCGTGGCTTCATTGCACCATCAAGTCCTTGGAGAAACCTTGGTGTGGTGTACTTCTGACCACGAACCATGTTGCCATAGTTCCAGGATAAAAATGTCAAGGACTCTGAGCTGGCCAATAAATTAGTTCCATATGGTTCTTCTATTCTTCCCTTGAGGAACCTTCTGCACAGCTCTTCATAGAAGGTGACAAAGTCCCAACTGGGTCCCTTGGGACCATATGATTCCAGTTCCTTCTTGAGTTCCTTTTTCGTATCCTCCAATTCTTCTCGAGCATGACCTGCCCTTTCAAGGGCCTTTGGATCGACCTGATACCTGCCATCCAAATAAATGATGCGGTCATCATTGATGAAGAATCTCTTCAAATCATGCTCTGGTTCATGTTCATAACAATCAGGTGGAGGTACTGGACAGATATTGCGAATGGATCGAACAAAATCATTCTCGTTGATCCTTGACTGATAATGAGGATGGGAAATCTCACCTTTTCTGAAACAAACATGATTCAGCAATCTTGCATGAGTTTCCCTGAAGCGTAGTTGATAAAAGCCAATACCTGGATCTCCTGTAAGCTCTCCAAGCAACTTTAAAGGTGAAGTATGCAATTCATAGGTATTGTCAACTTTTGTTGTATCCTTTTCAACAACTACTTCAGATGGAAAAGATTCTTGGATTTCAGCCTCCAATTTCTTCTCTCCATCATCCTCTCTGACCTCTTTTATTTTCTCCACCGCCTCTTTCTTCTCTTCCATGGTTGCATCATCCTGAACTTCTTCATGAAAATGAGGATCAGGAATTTTATTCAGGCGGCTTCTCTTCGATTTCCGCTGACCTGAAGTATCATCAAGGTTAGCATCCATCTCACCTGATGGTAAGTGCGATGCAGTCGAGTCCTCACCTATCTCTCTTGACAGAAAATGTGGCGTTGACTCTTCCTTGGCTTCCTCCTGGTCAACTTCCATCTTTGGTTCCTCTGAAGGAAAAATACCTGCATCTTCATCAAATATTTCTTCTTCCTTTTCAGGTTCAACTGCAGGATCTTCTTCAGGAACTTCCTCTTCCATATTCTCATCTTCTAGAAGTGTCATACTTCCAGTATAGACTTCACCAGCAATAGTGGAGACTCTTGTATAAGGAGGAACTTCTTCACCTGCTTCAAAAGCTTGTTCTGCAACATCCTTGGTGAGCAAGTCCTCTACAAGATTTTCTCCCTCGGTTCTTGGAAGAGGTCCTGAGGTCTCATAAAAATCTGTCCTCTCTGAACTGAAAGCTTCTGTCGCCTTCTCATTGTCCTTTTGATCCCTGAACAGGTGAGTAATCTTCACAGCTTCTCCCTGTAGCACCTGATCACCTCCTCTATACTTGTCGACAATGGAGCGCCATACTGGAACATCATCATCATCAAAATCAAGCTCCATATCATCTGCCAACAGGTATGAGATGTTTTGAGCTGCCTGTTCTTCTTCTTCATCACGTTCCTTGGCAAGCTCCTCATCCTTCTGGATCTTGAAGATACCCTTCAGGATGTCTTGTAGTACCTTTAAGTTCAGCTTCGATGATGGCTCATACGTCCCTGAACTTACAGGCTCAACTACAACACGAGAGCAAGAAATCGCCTCCAAAAACTTGGAATTGTATTGGCGTTCAAACTCTTCCTTCTTGATCATCTCATACAAGGGATCAGAAACTGCAACACGCGCCTGAACATACTCACGAAGTTGATAGCATGCATGTTGCACAAATCTACTGTTGGAGTTGTGAAGAAAACTCTCCAAATGATTCCTGTCACGGTCAATCAAATACCACACAATCCTTGCAGAAAAACGGAATTTCTTGAAGTTCATAGCAAAATGTGTATGATACTTCTCTGGATTCCTTTCTGCTTGTAAGGCGGCCTCTGAAGTCTTGTAAACTGGGAGCTTTGTGTGTGGATCCAAAATCATAAACTCTTCCCACAAGATCGAGTGGTCAAGAACCCACTTGGGAAGCACCTTGATGAAAAAGTCACAAACAAGTTCTGACACAAGGTGCATGACACGACCAATCTCTTCCTCCTGCTTGAAGCGATAGTGCAGTTTGGCAAATAAGGGATTGTTGAATGCTTCCTCCACTGTATTGCCAAAATTATCCCACTGAGGTTCTGGAATACCA